CGTTTTTTTATTTTCCTTCCCCTGTAGACAAAATTTGCATATTCAATAAGTTAGTTAAACTTTTTTGTGACTTTGTGGCATATCGTTAGAATCGAGATAAACTAGAGTAGTTTTTAAAAGAATTCTAAGAACGTGAACGCTTTTAGTTTTTTTACAGAAATTCAAAATTGGTACTTACATTTTTTGTTCTTCTTTGTAACCCTTTGTGAGTTCATAAATAAAAAACTACATGCCGCTGGCAAGTAATGTTGATTTTGTAAGATTGGTACAACACCACCCATTAAGACAAATTAATCATTAGGTGGACATACTCTTTATTTTTGTTTTTATTTCACTTTGTGTATTACATTTTGGAGTTTTTACTAAAAAAGATTAAAAAATATACATAATTAATTCCGTTGGGCTAAAAACTGTTTGAGGGACCTGGGGTGATAGAAAAAGGCCTCCTCTCTCCGCTATTTCAATTTGGCAAACGATACTTTGTTTTGGATGTATCAACTATCAACTTGCTTTCCGTAATCAATAATAAATGGTGAAGAGTGGTCCAACCTGCCACACTTGCTTGAAGGAGGACGAGTTTCTGGGCTATTGCCCCATGTATTGCGGTCTAAGGGGTCATTCAGTTTTTTGGTGAAATTGCTTACTACAGTATATTCAGATAAGAGATAGACCGGATGTAAACAAAAGGTTCGGGTGATTTTCACGCTAACGCCGCCTTCTCGACGTAAAACAGGAGCCCTCATTGGTCAATTCGCAATTAAATGCCTATGCAGAGCGGCAGAGCAGTCGTATCAAGGCAGAGTCACATTCAGGTTCAGACGTGTTACGTATGTCGTGTGCATCATTGCAATTTGATATTTCTTTGGACGTTTTCGTTTGTTATCTTATTAAGTTGTTGAGTTTGTCGTTGTTATTGTTATACCTTGTTATTGATTGTTATTGTTATCAACTGCTTGCGCAAAATGCCCAGTAGTACAGATACTGCCGATGAAGTTGTAAACTCCTGTAGTCCACCTAGGAAACGCTCTAAAAAAAGACACCTGAGTGCAGTAATGAAAGAGGTCATTTTGAATAAATATAAGATCGAGCGCGAGGAGAACGAGGCATCAACCATCAAAAAAATTGTTGTGAAGGTTTCTCACAAAGTTGGGGTGTATCGCGCATCAGTGTTTAATGTGTTAAGACAATACAAAAAAAATCACACCTTTTCTGAGCCAATGACCGGTAAACATCGCAAAAGTATTGTTAAATCATTGGATGAAGCTGATAAGCATGCGATTAGGAGGGAAGTGCATGAATTCTTCTTTAGGAATGAAATACCTACTATAGATAAAGTACTGCAGGAGGTAAATGGAGATACAACGTTGCCAAATTCTCGAAGAATGGAGAAGGTCCCAACAACGGCTTCAAGGAAAGTTGATGTTCAAAATTGGCTCCGCTCGAAAAATATCAACTTTGAAGAAGCAATGCTGAAAGTACAATTATTAAGAATTGTCAAGGATCACAAGGCGGAATATCAAAAATACGCCATTGACGAAATGGCAGCAAGTCAGTAGATACTGGTGCACTCTGGGCGCCCCCCACCACTTCCACTTTTTGGCCACGCCCACCACATCCACCGCGTGCTCTGATTGGCGGATCAAACGGCGGGAAATTTGAACGGGGTTGATGGTATATGTTGATTGGCGGGAACCGCTAGATCCACCGCGTGCTCTGATTGGCGGATCAAACGGCGGGAAATTTGAACGGGGTTGATGGTATATGTTGATTGGCGGGAACCGCTAGATCCACCGCGTGCTCTGATTGGTGGATCAGACGGCGGGAAGTTTGAACGGGTTGATGGTATATGTTGATTGGCGGGCCCCGTTAGATAGCGCACCCGACCGGAAGTGATTCAGACAGCCGACGATAGTAAGGTGTAGTATAACGTCTATGCGTAAGCGATGTGACTCATTTCATGTTTTGCGGTAAATATTTGCATATAGATCGATAAAAGCCCATGAATAATGATATTTATAGATGCAATTCTGCTGATTCAGTTTAAATGGAAAAACGTATAAAATTCGCGGGAAACAATGCGTATAGGATGATCTCAATAATCAACACGTCATATTCAGTGTGCATATAAAAATGGAATTGCTCATATATGTGGTGCATACAGTTAATGTTAGTTAATTTTTAACATTGATACAATATTGAAAACCTACGTCGCAAATGAGGTTAGGTTCAGGGCAGGTGTTGTCGTAGCGGTGATATGCAAGAAGTACCGGGCGGGGCTGTTAAGCATGGGTGAATGGGCAGGAAGCGCAGGCTGTCAACGAGTTAATACTGACCAACGATAACAGCGGTGACCTTGAAACACTGTGGTCAGTTAAAAAGTGGTGGGGGTAAAATCGAGATTATAAATACCTATGAATCACCGCAAATTATCTTGTCAGTTATCTGCAGCGAACAGACGTGCTCAGTTCAGATTTAGTCGCTAGTTAACGTTTTAGTTTTTAAAAAATGGAAAAATTCTTCATCGTTAAGGATTCTACTAAGAAGATTAAAAAATTTAATCTATATGGGCGAGAAGTGGAATTTAAAATACGACCTATCCCTAAAGACGTCGAACCTGTGGGATGGATCAAAGACGCTCTGGAGGAAATAGTAGCCAAAGGAACTGAACATCTCCAGCCCAGTGATCAAGTTGGATTCACTTTCTGTTCCAAAGACTTTACCCGCGGTCAAGGATGGATAGCTTTTAAAATGTTTTCCGACGTTTCAACTGAGGACATATGGGAGAAGATATCTTCCATCTATCAGTCAAATTCTGTGGGGTTGAATACCGAGACTTTTTGCTTGGGTATTACGTCCGTAAGGTTGCCTGCTGGTCGTGGTAGAGCTCAGAATTTCAATACCTTTGATGAGGAATGCGCCAAAAGAAAAGGCATTATCACCGTTAAAAACACCGATAATTTGTGTCTCCCACGAGCCCTTGTCATCGCCATGGCCCATTTGAACAAAGACAAAGATTATAGCAGAATCCGCCGTGATCGAGGAAAAAATACAAGGACAAAGAGCTGTACAACTTGTGGAAAAGGCTGATATTGTTATCCCTGAGGAGGGGTGTGGAATACCTGAACTTCAAAAGCTACAACGATATCTGCAAAACTACAAAATTGTTGTATACAAGTTTGGGTGCAAAGGTCGTGACGTCATTTTTGAAGGCGTGTCCGCTGGTCCGACGCTTAACCTAATATATCACGAGGGGCACTACAGCGTCATAACATCCCTCACTGCTGCCTTTTGCTGCAGCTTTTTTTGTGAGAACTGCCACATTCCGTATAATACTAAACAAATTCATAGATGTGATAAACAATGTTATGCTTGTAAAAGATCTCCGGCCTGCCTGAAAACGAAGCACATCAAATGCAAAGAATGTAATAGAAGCTTTTATGGACAAGAATGTTTTAACGCTCATTTACCATCGGTCTGTTCTAAAATTAAAAGATGTGTAGACTGTTTTAAAGTTCACAACGGTAATGATCACATCTGCGGATATATACTTTGTAAAACATGTTATAAAAATCAACCAATTGAACATATGTGCTATATACAGCCTGACAGAAGTATTCCTAAATCAAATGATGTCTTATTAATATTTTACGATTTGGAAACCCGTCAGGAGAAGGAATTACCCAATGGATCTTTACTGCATGAGCCAAATCTATGTGTATTCAAACAATGTTGTGAATCATGTACCGATAATCCTATATGCAAGAAATGTGGCCTTCGAATACAGATTCTTCGATGTCAAGACGTCATTTCTCCATTTATGCATCATATTCTGACACTTCGTAAAAAATTCAAGAAAGTCATTGTACTGGCGCATAATGGTGGAGGATTTGATCATCAGTTTCTACTTCGTTACATTTTAGAGAAGACTAGTCTGTACCCGAATGTAATTATGAGAGGAACAAAATTAATATTGATGGAGGTAGGAAATGTAAAATTTCTGGATTCTCTCAATTATTTTCCTATGCCTCTAACTGCTCTACCCAAGGCGTTTGATTTGAAAGAGCTAAAGAAAGGATACTTTCCACATTTATTCAACACTTTGGCTCATCAGAATTATGTAGGGCCAATTCCAGCGCTCGACTTCTACGATCCCGACCATTTAAAGGAAGACGCTCGGGAAAAATTATTAAAATGGCATGGCGAAAGACAAGCGGAGGGATACGTTTTTGATTTTCAGAAAGAAATCGTTGAATACTGTATCTCCGATGTGGAAATATTGACACAGGCGTGTCTCAAATTTCGAGACCTGATGAAAACCGAAACCACAGTCGATCCCTTCCAGGAAAGCACCACTATTGCATCATGCTGTAACAAAGTCTTTAGACGCAATTTTTTAAAACCTGAGACGATCGGGGTAATTCCAAAAGGGTTCTATAGATGGCGTGAAAATCAGTCAAAAATTGCCATCCAATGGCTGTTGTGGGAGGAACATCAAAGAGGAATCAAAATTCAACACGCCGCTAAGGGTATAGAAACCATTGTTAAGGGACATAAAGTAGACGGTTTTTGTAGCGACACAAATCAAGTGTTTGAATTCCAAGGATGCTATTTTCACGGTTGCCCTCGATGTTTCAAATACAAAAGAAGCAATCCTCTGCATAATGATCCGTTGAATACATTGGAAAGTCGATACGAACAATCAGTTAGCAAAGTAGAGAGACTCCGAAGCCTTGGACTAGAAGTAATTGAGATATGGGAATGTCAATTTCGAGGAATGCTAAACGATGAAATTAGAGCCTTCACAGAAGCACATCCATTGATAATCAATTTACCGATTAACCCCAGAGACGCTCTCTACGGGGGACGTACAGAAAATATCGTTGAATACTACAAGATCAAAACAAATGAATGCATAAAATATGTCGATATATGTTCCCTGTACCCCTTCATCTGTAAATATGGAAAATTTCCGGTGGGTCATCCAAAAAAAATTTACGTAGGTGAAGAATGTGTTACAGCCTCTCTGTCGCAGATGTCAGGACTTATTAAATGCCAGATTCTACCGAACCAGAACTTATATCACCCCGTTTTACCGTCAAAAATGAACAACAAATTGATGTTTGTTAACTGTCAAAAATGTGGTGAAGATTTCGTTCGAGAAGAGTGTCAGCATTCTATTCAAGAAAGAAGCCTAAAAGGAACTTGGGTGATAGAAGAGGTGCTCAAAGCTATTGAAAAAGGTTACCAGATTATAGAGACTTACGAAATATGGGAATACGATACAATTCAGCTCAGTAAAGACCAAGAGGGGTTATTTAGCGGAATGATGAACAAGTTTCTACAAATAAAACAACAAGCTTCAGGATGGCCCAAACATTGCTTAACGGATGAAGAAAAAAACCGTTATATTGATGCATTTTTGGATAGAGAAGACATAAAGCTGGAATTTTCAAAAATTATAGAGAACCCCTGTTTGAGATCGTTAGCTAAACTTATGCTGAATTCCTTTTGGGGTAAATTTGCTCAAAAAGAAAACCAAAACAAAACCTCAATAGTCAGAGACTGTGGTGAATTCTTTGATATGCTGACTAATCCTTCTATTCATGTAAATACAGTTCTCCCGGTAAACGAAGAAACCCTTCTCATAACTTGGGAATTTAGAGAAGAGGCCTATGACGTTTCTTCAACGGTTAACGTTGTATTGGCTTCATATGTCACGGCCCTAGCTAGACTAAAATTATATTCATTCTTGGAGAAAGTGGAAGAAAGGGCAGTTTACGTAGATACAGATTCATGTATTTATATCTCTCGTAAGGGATTAGACGACATATCTACAGGCGACTTCATAGGTGATATGACCGATGAGCTCAATGGGGGTTTCATATCAGAGTTTGTTTCTGGAGGACCTAAGAACTACGCCTACAAATATACTACTTTGTCTGGAGAGGAACAGATCGTATGTAAAGTAAAAGGCATATCACTCAACTACAAGGCATCCCAAGTAGTCAATTTTGAGAAAATAAAAGACATGGTGCTGAAGAAATCTGATCCTGTTTCTGTACTTTCTCGACAGCTACGACGTACAAGAGAGCATGCAGTAGTAACAGTCGAGTTTCCTAAGGTATACAAGATAACTTCAATGAAAAGGAAATTCTATGAAGATCATACCTCTGTACCATTTGGATTTAAGAAAATAAAGTATTGATTTATTAATGTATGTAAATATTTTTTAATAAACATGTAAAATAAAATGTATGCAAATGATTTTTTGTTTTTTATTTCCCGCCTAATTGAAAAATATTTTTGCACCCGAAATTGTTCAGCCTTTTTACTCCATATAAAATATTTAAAAGTATGCATTGTTATTATTAAACGCCTGCAGTAATATACACCAAAAAAATTGAGAAGCAGTGTAACCATGTGGAACTTTGTATAATCACAAAAAAACATATCTTGGAAAATAAAAAATACAGCAGATTCATAAGCAGTGTAGAGAGGAAACTACGTAAAAGTAATCGATTATTACTAATAAAATAGAGTTTTGAATTCCTATTTTTACAATAATAATCATTTTACTATCTTACGTGTTGGGCACTGCACTGCACGGGTACCAACACTGTACTGCACGGGCACGAAAAATTGAGAAGCATGATAACCATGTAGAACTTCGTATCACTACGTAAATGGTTATTACGAAAAGTAGAAATAAAAACTATATTTTCGATAATAGCTATACTATTTTTTATGAGCACCGAAAAAATTGAGAAGCACAATAACCTCATAGAACTTCGAAACAGCACCAGAGACAACCGAAGGCTACAGAAAAAAACACATACTGAAAAGGCATAACATCTATCAGCGCTGGTATCCGATAATACTGTTTCCTTTGACATTCGTTGGGATATGAAAACACATATTTGCTTCCCACCGTTATAACGGAAATAATAGTTACTGCAAAAGCAGTTTCACGATAAGACCATACATTAATCTACAAAGTTGATAATAAAACATATGTACTATTAAAATGCAGATATTTTTAAAATTATACAATTAAAAAATCAAAATAATATATTATAAATGGTAGGGGATACAGGGTAAACACCGAAATATACTTAATTTAGAATAGTTACTTATAATCTCCTCAGTTCTTTGGTCAGCCGTATCGACAATTTACCGGTGGGTCCTCTATTTTTGTGCATGTAAAAGGTTAGACTATGGCGCTAGCAAAAAAAACAAAATGCAACAAAGTAGAGTCACTTAATATTCTTGTTGAAATTACGGATAGAATATGGTAGAAAGTAACAATCAGATATTGTAGAAGCCATGTAATTGTTTAATTGTTGAGGAAAAAGTATTTTTCATACGCTGACCATGTTTATGTCCGCTTGGTACGCGACCAGATCTTTTCCAAACCTTTGCCCGTAGGGTTCATGAGCCTACGACCAAATGTGTCGTCGAAGGG